ACCATTTTAATTTTACCAAGTAATGTGCAGTTTCTTTTGTGAGTTCTGATTGGGTGATGCAAATGAGCCGAAGTGAATCTTATAATTGTTTGAGGGTAATTCGTGGTGAAATCTGCCAAGGGTTAATGTTGAGGCTTCGGCCGAATAAATGGTCCTTGGCTGGCGAAGATGTTGTAGACCTTGTTCTAGTGCCCATCAAAATGAACCTTGTGTCTACAACAGTGAACCCAGTGAAAGTGTCAGTAAACCCCCAGTACTGGTTGACACCAGGATAGTATATTAAATTGCCAATTGATAGACAGATAGCCTCACAGCTCTGTCATGTAGTTCCAAACATAAATATGGTTTCTGTGGTTAAATGCACTGTATGTCATCACCCACACTTGCAATTTAAACATTAGTAAGTCTAATAATATATTTTTTCATAGATTTTTGGCCATGTTATTTTTTTTTTTTTTTTGAATTATTACCAGTCTCACTTTCCAATTTCTAATGGTTTGTCCAAACCATTAAACTGTATTTATAAAGACTATTTTAATCTTACTCAAAGCAAGAAGAGAACAGCTCAGAAGACAGAGAGGTTTGATGGGGATTCCAGAAGTTTATATTCCGCAGTTGGGTCACAATGGCAACCTATCACCACCACAGGATGATGATCTTGGTAGGTTTTTTTTATCACATTTTATGAGAAATCTTCACTGCAAGGTCTTTAACTTGAGCAGGGGAGTCATGTAAATACCACTCACTTCAAACCTTCAAGTCACTGTAAGTTTGCATGGAATTCAGTGCCTGGAATCATAGCATAAATAGTTTATATTGGTTGATTTTGTTAATGAATATATATGTATATGTCTGATGATGCTTGTTAAAGTTTTAGCTTTAGATTTAGCTTTATTTCAAAGATAATTTTAGATAAATCTGATGATTAGTCCCTAAAATGGAACAGATTTGTTCCCCAGTTGGCACAAAGGCATAGTTTGATTCTACATTGAACAAGGTATGCATTGATGGATTTCATTCAAACTTAGTACATATGTAGAACACTGCTGGACCTTGTGAGACCTTTACACACTTCATATTGTTTTACTAATAACACATTCAGGGTTTGATACAAAAAAATTAGTTGAAAACATTTCATTTTTTTTATGTTTGTGTGCAAGTATTAATAATAACATGTGCATTATAAAATTCTCAAAAAATTACTGATGTTTTATTGCCAGAGAAATAAGTTAATTTTTTTATGTGTTGTTTAAAAAAATGGCATGTGTTTTGTTTAATAAATAATTTATCTACACACTAAGATAAAAAAAATACTTAGTTACATGATTTTTTGAAACAAAACCAGATCCATAGCAATTGTGTGTTGCTAAGGTAGTGATACTGTAAAAACTTAAACACACATTCCAGGAAATTTGGCTAAATTTGGCTGATTGCCAACAATTTCATCACTTTTTGATAAATGCTAGCAAAAATTTGATTTTAAACTACCTTTATATTTGTTCTTTTGTAGCCAGTGTTAATGACCGTGATTGTGCAATCTGCATGGATCGCCAGCGTGACTGTTTATTATGTCCATGCCATCATATGATCACCTGTATGGAATGTGCAAAGTCACTGCTCAATCGTAAAGATTTCTGCCCAATTTGTCGAAAAGACATCACAGAAATTATACGAGTGTTTCATTCATAACAGAGTGATGTATGTTACCACAGTATGTGTACAATTTGTAAATATTCTTTCTATAACAGTTTGAATGTCATGTCATTCATTTTGGTGACAAATGTTTTGATAGTGAACATGTCCAAATCAATATATTATATGTAATAATACTATATTGGTTTAATTATGGATTCTTAGGGAAGACGTCAAAAGATCGATGTCGGATAAAAAACGTATTTCCTTTAGTTTTTTTTTTGGGGGGGGGGGGGGGGTTTGACCTGAAAAAGTTTCCATCCTACAAAAATGATTTTATTTTTTAATGAAGTCAAAAAAATCTTGCAGTATTTGTAGTTCTATCCAATCATGGATAGAAATAACTGAAATGGGAAAAAAAAAACAGAAAAATGGTTTGGTTCAAGTGTAAATCTGTGCGTCAAATGAGGTGCATTTTGCAAAATCTTCTTACACCCACCCGGCAACCAACTGCTATGCAATACTACTGTCCGATTATCAATTTGTATTTAATGGTGAATGTAGTTTGACGCCATGACCAATATTTATCAATTAAGTTTCAGTGGGGGGGGGGGGGGTAAGGGGGTTTGGAAAAAAACTAAAGGAATTAAGTTTTTTATCTGACATCGATTATTTGACATCATCCCTTAGTGTTACATGAAAGATGCATGTCTCAATGTTTGCAGTGTTCCATAATTATTTACTTAACTTGTATATATTTCTGTACATATCTAAACAAAATATAGTCATCTATAATTTATAAATGTCTTAGACTAGTCCAGTCAGTTCCAGTCTTGTACCACTGCGCAACTGTTAATCTGTTGAATTGCGGCCAATGAGCCGCTTGTGGTAAGAGACTCATCATAGTGATGTGCTATCAATCATTATATGAAAATAAATCTGTCACCGTATCCCCATATGTTACGGAGTATTTTCATCCTACCATATTAGGAAATGCGAATTCCAAATATGGAATGATTATGTGTGTAAGCGTCCTCTAATAATAAAAGCAAACATGGCTGCCCAGACTAGACTCCGTACAAAGAAGTTCGCTGATTCTGTTCTAAGCATTTTGAAATTTGGCATTCCCATGGTGTATCCTTAGAAGAAAAATATGTATAATAATAAGGTTATTACGAAGATACCTCAAAGTATGAACTCAGACAGTACGCCGCGAATGTCGGTCGATAATCCAGCTGTACTGTCTTTGTGCATACTTTGAGGTATTCTCGTAATAACCTTATATTATGTACATGTCAATGGAGTGAGCCAAAACATGTCACTGTGTATTGTTAACATTGTACTTACGTTATAATTATGTAATTTAATGTAAACACAAAATTACAACCACTGCTGAAGAATGAACGTATGTTTAGTTGGATGATGTATCAGTGTAAAAAGCTGTGCAATGTTCTCTGTGGTTGCACACTCTCTATGTTTATAAGATTTAGTTGTAATCCCCACTTGTTTTATATAATATTATTTACAAAATAAATAAAATGTGTTGTGTTATTGAAACTGCTTGGCTTCAACTTGGACAACTCGCACTTCTTTTATTTCCCGGTGTTTATATCAAATTCAACTGTCATGTAAATGTTACACAGATAAACAAATGTTTTGAAAGAAGGTGGCCCTTTTTAGGGACAGTACTTGTTTCAAAAATGGAAAAAGATATTTCCATTGAGCTCTCGTTACAAGATTTAATGTTTACTTGGGAGATTTCTAAAATCACAAAAGGTTGAGTAGGTGGAAAAGAGCTTTTGTCAACTCTTAACTTGGCTTTATAGTGAATAATAAAATGAAACACTCCACTTAGAATTACATATCTATTGTTTGATGAAAAATAGCTAAAATGACTATGATGGGCTGGCAATAAACATTTATTAATTACCAGTCCAGATTATGGATAGGTACAACCCACTGCTGCAAAGTTTTCTTCAGTCTGTGTCCCTGTGTATAACAAATATCATAGAGAGCAGAATAACAAACATGCACAGCAGATACATGCACATGGGACGGAGACTGGAAATTGAGTCTTTAAGTGTCAAAAATAATACCCTAAAGCAGTATCTCACTATTAAATATATTTTTGTTCCAGGCAAAGTGAGAAAATAAGGACTTATAATTTGATCTCTGTTTGTGCGTGCATCTTCATCTATACCTTGGATTTGCTGGGACCGAATACATTCAAACATTTATCATGCATTGTGGGATACATTTGAGCATGTCCATTCAGTTCATGACCAAATGCAAGATTGCTAAATATTCAAAGTCAAGCATTTCTAGAATTCTTAAATTGAATCTCGGTCCTGTATGAACCGATTTCATTCAAAGTCAATATAAATATCAGGAAGTAAAATACCTTGATGTATGTCTGATAATGCAAAATGTTGGTT